TCAATACAACGCTGGCCGCCTTTACTTCCAGGACTGCACCTGATACCCACTAAAAGCTGGGTCGACGTGGGAGTCAAGGTCATTTTTAAAGAAAGCCTTGTTCCGTCAGAACCCGGACCCACCACCTTCTGATCCAAAGGCCAGAGTCTAGCCGCCACACCACAGCGACTCTAGTGTATGGCAGCATTTATTTCTCCCGGATAGAAGACAAATTTGCTAGCATCCCTAGTAGAGAATCACGCCTTGTTGTTGCTGATTTGATGGGGTGGAAGGAATAGAAAAGAGGGGGTTGTTGGAGTTGACCACATTCAGCACTGCTGATGACAGTTTTTTTTTTTTTAAATTATGGCCACTCCCCACCTCCTCGCCAAGTTCAATGGCTCAAAAGTACAGTTCTCTCGTGTTGCGGAGACCCCCAAACAATTATTTTCCTTCATAACTTCAATGAATAGGTGTTTTTCGAAGATCTTAGGCGACCCCCGTGAAAGGATCTAGAATAGGGTCTGCACTGAAAGGTTTAGAACCGCTGGCTGTTGAAAACATACAGATTTTAACGAAGGATAGCTTCCCCAAATGACACAAGTAAGACATTAATCTGGGAATAGTTTATGCATTACATAATGGAACATGAAGAAAGCACAAAACGAACATACCCGTTGACTTACTAGTCTTCACTGTTGAAATTTTTGCTATACAACAATAAACCGAGTTTGCACAAACAGAAGACACCGCAGAGGATAGAGCGATGTCGTCGAGAAATCCATTTTTTTTTTTAAATCCAGAAACCATGAGTTCTTAACCTTTTGCCTCGGTACTATGGATATCGCAACCCTTCAGCCTTGATTCCATGACAGATACCGTAAATCTGAGAGAAATGTAGCTTTTCTACCCCCGGGTGTGAACCCAAGGCCACAAGGAGTTCGTCACCCAGTCGATGCACAGTCAGGTTTAACAAACTGAGCTAGCGAGCCGGGCAATCGTCGAGAAACGAAGAACAATTACACTGCATAGTGTAAACTGTAAAGAGTAACCATAAGATACTCACATCCCTCCCCCACCTCCCCATAAGTGGATATACTCATGCACGTCACAGGTGGAAGAAGAGACAAACAAGAAGAAGAAGCAGCACTAGAAGAAGAAGAAGAGGAGGAGGAGGAAGAAGAAGTTTAATAATAATAATAAGCAAAAGAAGAAGTAGAACTATAATCACAAGAATTGATACATCCTGTAGTAGATCGCAAGAATAAAGCAGAAAAGCGACGAGGAACTGTGACATCTGTGTTAGTGAGGCTATTTGATATACATGATAATTAATAAATAAAATTAAAAAAAATTGTTCAACGTTTATCTTGTTGTTGTTGCTCAACTTTACCAGGACCGTACAACAAGGAACCAACACCAGGTGATACAAAGTGCCACGATTCGGATAAAGATCTCCCAGCCACAAGTCCCAGAATCACCGTTTAACCTAAAGGTTATTAGGGCGCCTGACAACTGCCAGAGTGGGGCCTTAAAATAACGAAAAACTCCATCTCCTCCTGGAGTGTTCCAGGGTTAACGTTCATCTTCCCAACCGTCCCGCTTGCTGGTGTAGTTGGCTAAACCTGACCGGGTGACAACTCCTTGTGGTCCGGGTTCACGTCCGGGGGTAGGCAGAAAAGCCACATTTTCCCCAGATTTACAGTATAGATACCGTATCATGGAATCAGGGCCAAAGGGTTGCGATATCCATAGTACCGAGAGTAAGGGTTAACAACTCATGGCTTCTGGATACTTTAAAGAAAATAAATCTTTCCAACTGTAGCGCATTTATACAGCCATGCCTGTGTTAGCTACAACTCCAGCAGGCAGGTAATTTGTGCAACATGTGCCATATCTAAAGCCTGCCCGGCTCAATACAACAATCGATACACTCGCCAACTTGGCCAGTCAACAACATGGCGTCCAAGAGACACGATCAGTCTTCTATACGTAGCGGGGACACGTCGCCGGACAAGAAGAAGAAGGAAATTAAAGTATGGATGGATGGATGGTCAGTGAATTGTTTTTTTAAGTTACATATACTAGCTAATTGAAAGCTTGTTGTGCGATTTTGCTGGAGCAGGCCGACATGAGAGATGTGGAGCGGTGTACCCGTCACAGTTGTTTTCCAACTTTTATCGTACGATGGGTTGTAGTTGTACTAATAGTACCACCACAAACGGCGAATAATAAAATGTTTATATGTTTTTGTCTAATTCGTTAGCTGAATGAATATTTAAATCCTAGATTAGAATGTTTAGGTAGGTGTCACGATTTTTAGTTTGGCAGAATTTTTATTTTTAATCAGATTATTTCGTATTAATATTAATGCACTATTAATCATCATATAATGATTGATATAACTATAACGTAAGTCTTAACTTTTAAGAAATCACATACAAGACTAAGACTAGATTCGTCATTCAATCCAGTCCACACCCATATTTGAAAAAAAAATTATTTGCTGCCTTGCGGTGCAGATCTTTGGAAATTTTAACACTCATTAGTATTAAACTTTAATTTAAAATTGAAGCCTCAGTGCCAGTAGTCTCTTTCACAGTAGGATACAGAAAGACTACTCAACTACTGAACTACTGCCTGAAAACGGTTAAAAAAATACCATATGAAAGTCGAACCCTTGTTAGTAGTACCAGAAGATCAGGATCAGGATGATTCAATTGTTAAATACATTCACTTACCTTCCTGACTGTAAGCCACAGATCTTCAACACATTCAGTACTAAGAAACTTACCAGGAGTTTGTTGGTTTCTACCTGCGTGACCTACTTTCCTTAAGCCTTTTGCCTCACTTAATAGTTACAGGAACTACCAATAACACCTTGCAGTAGGGGATCTCCATGGAGAAGTTGGCCAGCCATTTGCCTTGCACTCTGAAGGTCGTGAGTTCATTGCACAGCTGCGTTGTTCAGTTTACAAGAGCAATTTTTATGGAGACCACTGGACATCATCACTGGACATCATCACTGGACATCATCACTGGGCATCATCACTGGGCATCATCACTGGGCATCATCACTGGACATCATCACTGGGCATCATCACTGGGCATCATCACTGGGCATCATCACTGGACATCATCACTGGACATCATCACTGGGCATCATCACTGGACATCATCACTGGGCATCATCACTGGACATCATCACTGGGCATCATCACTGGGCATCATCACTGGACATCATCACTGGGCATCATCACTGGACATCATCACTGGACATCATCACTGGGCATCATCACTGGACATCATCACTGGACATCATCACTGGGCATCATCACTGGACATCATCACTGGGCATCATCAGTGGGGCTTCGCTGTTTGTGATTTTGTATGACACTTTACAGGTGGCTAGCCATTATGTGGAGAAAGACCAAGCCATATACAACAGAATCCTGTGCAATCAAGTCTAGCCTCTCAATCTGTATTGTATTTTATAATGTAACAACTTTAACTTGTTTAGCATGGTCTCGAGGCATGGTGTCCACCTCGAGTGCTACAGGTCCCGGGTTTAAGCCCTGGGGAAGGCTGGGATTTTTTCACGCGGACTTCTAGTAATTTCCCCTGGTCTCTGGGAAGTAAGACCGGACACTCGTGTGTATTGTTGAGCACGTAAAACATCCCTTGGCATTTGGAAATCAAAAAGAGTAGCCTTATGATGCCTCTCTGGCAAAATTTGGAGTTAAAAATCTAGCCAAAGTATTTCAGGATCCTCGCGGGTGCAACAGAGATTGTGCAGTGTGCTGAGATTCTTCACACTCAGGCTTGAGTTAGAAGAACAGAGCACTTACCGGTTACGCTCATGTGCGATAATGTTGATCCATTGAATAAAAATAAACAATAACTTTATTATTACCAGACACCTTTTACTTCACCAGTTTTTAATTCAAAGTTTATTTAGTTTAGAGCGACAGTTTTTGAGTCACGATAAAAATTGAAGAAGTATGCAACAGGATGAGTTTAAAACATCCACTATGGTATGAAGAATGAATCTGTCAGTAGAACTAGAGATTTTCAGCTAGATTTCTGCCTAGATTTATTGTAACAGTGCTGATTGCAAATGTATGAGTGATACACTTATTGAGCCATGTGGTTCTATCCTTTGCCATTGTGTGCAGCTCATGTCATGTCCTCTGTCTTCCCTTTTTTTTAAATAAAGTATCATTCTGTAATTCTATCCTTAATGTGTGAGTGTGTTTTTGTTTTTTGTTGACTCCTTTGACATTTTAGATTCCAGTACAATAACCTTGCATCTGTGGCTTAGGTGCTGTGAACGCGCTTCGTAATACTAGAGTGCCGGGTTTAATTCCAGCTGTAGACTTTCTAATGATCTTTTTAATGTGGAGTCTTGCGTTGGTTTTGACAGTGGTACCGAGAGTTGACCCTTCAGAAAGCAGTGGCGAAATAATGAACATTTAATGTGCCTAGAAAAACCACAACAGCTAAACAATGCTGGCGTTGGTTCTACAGCGTCCTGTAAAGGATCCGCAACTAACTTTAACAATAACTTTCCAGTTACACTGTTATCTGTTTTTTCTAGGTATGTCCTATCCAACACGAGTGTCATTTCCTTACCGCTTGATTAACTTTATTATCAACTTTTCTCCGTGTTATTTTGTATTTTGTAATTTTAAACTTATGGGTTGCTTTGCCAGCACTGGCATTCCTTGGCTCTATTTATTATCAAGTTTTCTCACTGTAAAACAGTGTCATATTTAAATAACAGATGTTCTTGGATAGAAAGTCCAGAATATTCTGTGATGCGTTAATCCAAGTTTTAAATGTTCGTGTTAGAACTGAGTACATGAGCACTTAATGCCCAACAGTTTCTGTTCTTGTTTGATCATTGATTTGGTTTGATGTCTTTGATTTCAGAAAATTATTTTTAAGTGTTTATTGTCTTTTGTGTTGCCATATTAATTATAATGTTGGCTATTTAAATACTTTTTTTTTTTTTTTTCCAGTTTTGATATGGTGCATTTTGGACATGCTAATGCCATTCGACAGGTAATTTGACTAATTTGTGTTAATTATAAATAATCTTTACATGGTAGAGACAAAGCAGAAATGTTCTTTTTAGGATTTTTTTGTTCTCCCTTATCCACCATGTTCTAAGAATTTGTTTGCAACATTTATTGGTGTTCCATAATTTTGGCTATTCCTAACTTTAATCTACATTTGTATGCTTGAACCACATCCTACAATGCTGTTGAGACTTGGCCATTAATGAGAGGAAATCCATCTTCCCCAAATGATGCAAATAAGACATTAAGCTGGGAATAGTTTATGCTGTCAAAAATAGAAAATGGAGAAAGCATCAAAACGAACATAACTGATAACTTACTAGTTTTCACTGTTGAAATTATTTCCATACAACAATGTACCAAGTTTGCACAGAAGGAAGTCACTGCAAAGGATGGAGCGATGTCACCGAGAATAATCAATAGGAAACGAAGAACAGTTACACAGTGATGTAACGTGTAAAGAATAACCATCATATACTTTCATCCATCGACATACTTTTGGGGACTCGTGGAAACTTAATTTTGACCCACTTGAATAGCACAGCAAACATTGAGGCCGAAGAGCAGTTGAACTATTAAATGTTTTAGTACTAAGCAGCTCACCCTGCATTTGTTGGGTTGCACTTAATGTTTACATTTTTCACATTGTTGCATCCAGTTGTTAACACTCACCCACACTACTTCAGGTATTACTTCTCCTTCTCTCTCAAAGTATTGTTCTGGTAAGTCATTTTGGCCCAAGACATATATTACTTAGAATACAAAACTTTCTAGGGGAGAATTGGCTTAATTATATCTTCCTGGTATTGAAGGAGTTAAAGCTCTGTCTTGCGGTTTGCTGAGGAATCTTCATGGTGAAGTTGTCAAGCTGTTTGACTCATGCACTGAAGCTTGTGAGTTTATTTCAGGGTTGCATCTATTGGTTCGCAACCCAAACTACAGTGTTCATGCTTTGTGTGACCCTCTCAGCAGGTAGCTACCCGTTCTGCTGATAGAGACTTGAGTCATATGGTTAAAACCCTTTGTAGTGTCGTCAGTGCTTTCAACTCTAACCTTTGGTCGCTAGTACACATGCCAGCCATTCCAGTTTTTATTCCCACCAAAGCCGACTTTTAAAGTGTAACTGGCGCCCATGTTGAATAGTCTGAACATTGGTGCCATGTAGCATCCTGCGATGTAAAGTTGCTAGAAGTGCATTTTTACAATATTTAGTCAGTTAACATATTTAAAAATTTTTTTTTACATTTTTCGTTCTTTTGAAATATCCTAACCCAGATGCAGTCACAGGACAGTCCAACATTTTAGAGAGTGGTAAGACTGGGTTTCCCAGCTTTCTGATGCTTTCAACAACCCCAAAGCATCTAAAACTGATCCTAACCCCAACCCACCGACATCCCACGAGAGAACGCAGCCTAGGTCCCATGACTGCATGCAGCCTATCTGCAACCCCCTGAAATATTAGACTGTCCAGTGACCTGTGGATTTCCCCCGTTTGAGATAGAAAATTAAGAAAGCACCACATTTTTTTTAAAATTCAGAATGCCTTAGTAGATTCATGGCAGTGTATTTGCTTTGTGAAAACGTGAAGTAAATTAGATTATGTTGCATAGTTTTCTGATCATTGTTATTTGTTAATAGGAACTGTACATCTACTATTTTTATAGGGTAAAGAATTTGGTGATAAACTGTTGGTTGGCGTTCATTCCGATGGTGAGTTTTATTACTTAAATACTTTATTAAATGTTTATATCATTAGTAGGGGGTAAAACAGTTGCTGAGGATGTATTCTCTGATCAATATTACATAGCATTGAATGCTTATATATAAATAAAAATGTTGATTTATAACTGTATGAAGATTCCATATTGTGTAGCACATTTTTATGTGTCTCCGAAACGCCCTGTTTAACTGTTACTTCCAGCGTAGATCTTCCTTATGGGAAAATTGATGAAAAAATTAACATCAGCTGCAGTAAAGCAACCCGAGTATTGTGAAAGCTAGCTCCCCTCTTACAACATAAGCCAGTCCCAATCAGTAGAAGAAACATCTCATAAAAAGCAAATTCTTTCCAACTCTGTGTTATCAGTGCCACACATGGTCATTCACAACAAACCATAAAAGAAAATTAGTAGCCATTACATACAAAGATCATTTGGTTTTTCCCCACTTAGAAAGAATGCCTTGCGACACCATACCATACATATCATGCTCCACAAGAGGAGGAGGAGGTAGACCAAGAACAAGAGGAAACGATAACAGCAGGGAAACTCTACAACAGCATGATGTGTCTATGGTCAAAACGGCCAGAAGACCAAGAAGCAGAACCTTATCACAATCTTATATCTCCCTTGTCACCTGAAGTGGTAAAAGATGAAGTGAAGAAGAAGAAGAAGATCTTCCTTAACACAAAGCTTCTCTCCCTTCCTCCCCTGCCAGCCTGCTTTCTCCTCTATTTAGGTCCTTCCTTTAAATTTCCTGTATTGGAGTTTCTCCCTTCAGATGATGTGTTGGAAAATGTGATACTGTATATTCCCTCTTTTATTTATGTGTTGGCTCTTGAAAGGGTGTGTGGCCCATTGTGTTGTGGTTTATGGCTATGCTGTGATACCAGCAGCTTTCTGCCCAGCAAAGCCAATTTCAGCAACACAATAATTAGTCGCCTTTTGTGACATGCATGTTAGGGGGCAGTTTGTCTCTCCCTCCCACCAGAATGGGGTCCGGGAACCCAGACAGGGATTGTAAATGTCTGATACCATTGAAACACAGACATGGTGAATTATTAAGTTCCCAGTGTGTGTTCTGGGGCCCCATTATAGGGCAAACAAGAATAGACCCATTGCCTCCCCAACAAGCATGTCGTAGGAGTTGACTGATTTGGGGAATCCTTCTAAATAGGAATACATTTGCTTAAGAGGCAAGGAAACAAGAGTCTGCATACAAATTAGCCAGATGTGTAAAACAGGTGTGCACATAACACTCAGATTCTGAAACAATGTCTAAAGCCCTGAGTTGGATGAACAACTAGAGCAATCTGCCGTTGTTTACAGCGAGTGAACATGAAGAAGAATTATAAAGTAATGAATGTTTGTAAGTAAATAAATAATATTTTGACATTAACGCTTTAAATAAATTATAATATGAATTATTGAGTATTTAATTTAAATACACAAGGGAGCACCTTTATTTAGCTGAAAAAATAAGATATCCCATGACAGTAAGCACTTAGACGTCTTTTTAGAGCCCTAATTAATATAAGGCTCAGTTTAATTTTCTTTTGGGGAGGGGGGGGGGGTGTAATTTCAGTAGTTTGCTTTTTTTCCTATAGAGTTTTAACATACTTTTTGTGTCTCAGGTTTATAATACCTTCATGCTTCAGTCATAGTAACTAGTAAAACCTCCATGGGCAGAGAGCACAACTGGATGCTTTAGATCACTTGGACCACTTTCTACGAAATTATTAACTACATTTATATGCTTTGTGATTTTGCATGCTTTTTTTTTAAATCTTAAATATTATTTGGGGTACATTTTAAGAGTATTGTGATTCACACAGCAGCCGAGTTTGTGTTAATGTTTTTTTAGCTTAGTGTAAAAGTTTGTGTTTATTGTTTATTTTGAATATGTCATTTTTCCCTGAAACTTCTTGTAACTGAAATTGCCTGTTGTTAATAATGTGACTTCTTTTGTCTTTCAATCTATGGTCATAGAGGAGGTGACGAAGCATAAGGGACCACCAGTATACACTGAACAAGAACGCTACAAAATGGTTAGAGCAATAAAGTGGGTGGATGAGGTGAGTTGTTGTGTATTGTTGTTGCATTTGACTTAAAACTACAGCGGTGCATCTGTAAACGTTCACTTCGGTATGCGTCCTGTTTAGATGCAAAAACTTTAGCTTGGTATGCAACCTTTTTTCCCCCTTCTTTTTGCAGTTTGATCCACATGCTAGAACTTGTATGATTTAAAATTAGTCACAACATTGCACACTTTGTTTACCTCTCTTTAGACAAAGCCATAGATAGATAAATGTCAGTAGTGATTTTGCAACACCCCCAACAAGCCTCAGATAACCCATAATAGCATTGTCTAGATAGACCATAAACATCCTGAAGAGAAAGCAGATTTTTAGTAAAGGTCAAACTTGATGACCCTCAGCAAGGTCCAAGTAGTGAATTGAGAGAAGAAAAAGAAAGAAAAAACACAAGAATTTCAGATTCTAGAAGTTTTATTGCAAGTGGAATCTCTTGAATGTTGAATTAAGAATCGACATCACCGCACTCGGGACACTCCCATAAGTGCTCAGTCCCCATCTACAGCAGCAAGTTCCAATTCCAGTGGTACCAGAAACCATCTGATTGTATGGTGGACTTTGCCAACAAATAATAATATTTCCTCCTCCTCCCTTCTCAGTTACATCCTCATAAGCACTCGCCTCTATTCAGTTTAAAGTGAAATTAAATTGTCATTTATTTTATCTAATTGCTTTTGTATTTATGTATGTTAGTATTAGTAAAGTAAAGGACCTTTTACCACACTTTATTGAGCATATAGAGCTAGACCTATATTTTATAGACCAAAAGGCACTTGGTAGATAATGTGATCAGCATCACACCGGCTGCGTTTACTTCCCAGGCCGTACCTGGTACCCACTCAAGGCTGGATTGTCCAGGGAGCCAAGGTCATTTTTGAAAAAAGTCTGGCTGCATCAAGACCTGAACCCTTCCGATCCACAGGAGAGCATCTAGCTGCTACACCACATCGGCTCCAATTTTAGTAATAGACAGTAGATAAATTATTTTACACAACCACATCAGGGTCTGATATGTCAACAACAATATGATTTTTTAAATGGAAAGGATAAATCTTTCTTCTCCCTTTATTTCACAACGGATAATTTGTATGGTATATTAACTGTTTGGTATACGTCCAAGAATCAGGAAAGCATTAAGTTCGATACTGAGGTACCATTGTATTTGATATGCCTAGCTGAGGTTTGTTTTATTATTGTTTTAACTCACTTGCAATGATCCAAATATGACACTATTATTTTGGAGAGAAAAAAAAAAGAAATTAGCGCATGAAGAAGAGACTGACAAAATAACTATCCCCCTAATTACATGATACCGACAAGATATGGTACGAATATTCACAGCTATAACTATGGAAGAACATCATGACAGTTGAAAAGATCAGTAGTTGAAGAGGAAAAGACAGACAAAGCGAAAAGAGACTGGATGTTTTAATATTGAAGCGTGGAGGAAAGCCGTGAGTATAATTCATCTAGAATACTTAAAACCAAAATTTCTGGAGGAATCATGATCACAAACATTATTTCACAAAGCACACACATGATGACTGATACCAACCATTGCAGAGCAAATAATATCTTATTATAAAAACGGGAACCAATAATGAACTTTAAAGGTAGCACTGTTTGAGATAGAGTAAGTAAATAGGAATCATAGAAATGAATGGAGGTGGGTACTGTCTGCAGCAATAAACCTCAAGGGTTGAATGTTGAATTAGGAATTGACATCATAGTACCCAGGTCACTCCCAAAAGCACTCCATCCCCATCTTCAGCAACAAACAAAGAGTTCAAATTCTGATGGTATCAGTAACTATCTGATTGTACATAGGTCTTGCCTTTCCCCTGAGTGTTGAGAGTCGGCCCGACCCTCTGGTAACTGCTCACGGCGCCATTCTCCTCAGACCGTAATGATCTATTTGTACTTCCGCACTGTTCACTAAGGACCCTCACAACATCTTGCTTGTCATAAATCAAATCATCACCAAGTGGTGCAACACTGGCCAATCTATTTGCCTGCTAATTTCCCACCTAACTGGCATGACCTAGAGCAAATATCCACAGGATGGTAACTACCCGGACCTCTAAAGTGATGCTTGACACCCTTCACTGAGCTTGCCTGTCTCCACCTTTCTCAACATGCTCACTGAGTTAGTCACAATCATGGCATGTGTGTACAGCTGATTCTCAAGTGAAAGGCTGCAGAAACCCTCAAGGGCTTTGAATGCTAAAGAAGAAGAAAATTCTAACATTAGGATCATCAGAAAACTCTAGCACTTTAAATTTGTTCTTGGTTTGTGAATTTAAGGTGCAAGTTTATTTATTTGCCATATGTTTTTGTTTCAGGTGATTGAAGATGCCCCTTATGTCACAACACTAGAGACTCTTGATAAGTATGGCTGTGACTTCTGTGTTCATGGAGGTAAGAAAGTTTGTTGAAGTCGCTGAAAAGAGTTATGCTACATATGATCTTATTTGCAGTCACCAGCTGTAGACTTTGGTGGAAGGTTCTGGTTGTTTGTCTACTTCTGGACCTTCTCGTTGTTTTTCTACATGTGGACTTTAGTTTTGTTCCAGAACTGGAGATTTGCATGCACATCTAGTTTGAAGATCTGGATTATTTGTAAGCAGACTGTTGGTTCATCCTTCAGAGGCAGATACACTCCGACTGTGCAGGAAACCCCCCCCCTCCCACCAACTAGCCAGTACTTGTGGCATGCTTGTTAGGGAGCTTGTAGGTTTATACTTGCCCTAAAACCCACATGGAGAATACTACACAATATATTGCCCTGTATATTTAACTTTCTCATTGCACAGGCACAAACAGAAATAATACCGTTAGCTAGGCTTGTCAGGGAGTGGCCAGTGTAGTGATGCTGGTCTGGCAGAATTTAGGGGATTTGTAATAGATGGCACTGCCAGAGTAGCAGCTTCTCAAGACCGAGTTGAAATATGTGCAATTTAATATTTGTATGAGAATTTATACACACTTTCATTAATTTAGGGGGTCATTGAAAATTGTTCCACGTGCCAGTTTTGGCAGATTTACTGTAGGTTGCCTACCCTTAAATATATTATATAAGATACTTGGCTATTCTTAGTGCGTTATTATTTTTATTTTGGTTATCAGATGACATTACTACAACAGCAGATGGGGTGGATACATATCATCTTGTGAAAGCTGCAAACAGATACAAGTAAGATACAAATTTTGTTTCTGTGTCATTTGACATTCAGCCATTTTGTGTGTATGTGGTGTTGAATATTAATTTTTTAGGTTAACGGTGATACCTCGGTGTCACAAACCTCTGGTATGACCTTGCCGGTCCGTGGCTCGCTAACTAGGCCTATGACAGACAGACTAACCTACAACACACACTGAACCCGAACGCACACAGAGCACACACGACAATCTTTATTGGAAGTACAGGTAATACATAGACAGTTGACTTCCCGCCGTGTGGCCACCTATTGCCTGGACCCTCTGGCTGAACGGGCTTTACAATCGCCCCGTCCCCAGTACGTGCGACAGGCAATATTCTGGTGTACAAACCACAATCCGGCAGGATACGCTCTCTTCTATCGCCACGCTGACCCAATCAAAACTGTCACAGTCTTCTCTGTCCTAGTGCAGGGTCAGAGTGTCCAGGTTAGCCACTCTCTCACAGCACATTGACATAAATACTCTACACAAGAA